ACCTTAGATTCCCGTCATCTTCATCTAGGTAAATATATTTTAGACTTGCTGCATGACACTAAAATGATGGGAGCTAAACCAGTTTCAACTCAGTGCACCTCTGGTGAAAAATTGTCCAAGCACACTGGTGAACCTCTTTCGGATCCATCTACTTACAGACATATTATGGGAGCACTCCTATATGGCACTCCTATATTGTACATTGACTAGGCCTGATATTGCCTACATGGTTAACCAACTATGTCAGTTTCTTCATTGCCCAACTACAGTCTACCTCATGGCAGCAAAGAGAGTGCTTCGATATTTAAAAAGAACCATTGATCATGGACGTCATTACAGCAAAGGGTCATTATCTTTACATGGTTTTTGTGACTCAGATTGGGCTGGTATCCCTGATGATCTCAAGTCTACGACGGGATATTACATTTTTCTAGGTCCATGCTTAATTTCTTAGATGGCAAAGAAGCAACATGTTATTACTAGATCAAGCACTGAGGCGGAGTATCGATTAATGGCCCTTCACTATTACTAAGTTATTTTAGATTCAAATGCTTTTTAAGGAGCTTATCTTTCCTCTTCATTCACCTCATTGCTTATGGGTTGACAACATTGGAGCACTTTCATTATCCTCTAACCCTATGTTTCATGTAAGGACCAAACACATAGATGTTGATTACTATTTCATTCGATAGAAAATTTTTAACAGGGACATTTTTGGTCATTACATTTCAACCATTTTCCAACCATCAGATATTTTCACAAAGGGACTATCCAAGAACATATTCAATATGCTTAAAGACAAGCTAAAGGTTCGACCTCTCACTATCAGCTTGAAGGGGGACATTTAACCAATTCATTCAAAATACAAAAGAGTCCAACATTATCCACTCCACCGAACAAACCAACAACCTCTCTGACAGATCATCACATGGATAGCTACTGAGATCATTGTATTTTATTCTGATAAAATGTAATCTAGTTCGTTATGTATTTGGATTCTTTCCAATCTTGTAAACATTACATATACTTAATGAAACATATCATCTAGTATCACTTTGAGCCAGACTTGCAATCTCTGACTTGGTATCAGAGCCCATTAAGCTCTAACGAGCAATTCGATCCGATTAAAAATCCAAAAGTGAGCATACAGAGTTCAAGATTGGTCTGCTCAAACTAGCCACCATCTTGCAGGGGCATGATAAGGGATAAAATCTCTCATCGAATAAAGATGAAAATATAGATCAATTTATAAGAGTTTGGACTACTCTTCTTAATAAGGTTGACATTTTAAAATGAAACACCAATTCCTAACAAGGTGGGGGTCCCATGTACTGATATTCGCATAATTCATCCATGAGATTTTACATTCTCTTAAAACCCAAAACTTACAATCAATTTAAATGAAGTTACAACATAAGTGAGTACAGAAAAATAAAAAATACAACAATTAAACATTTAAAAAGAATTCTGAGAAATTCAAGAAGATATATGGGTAAGCATTAAAATGGAAATCATGAAACTGGGGTTTTACCAAATTGTTTCTCGAAATGATATTCTCTTGAGATGATTCCATCTTCAGAATCACACTACACAACAAGCCCACCCTTCATATATAAACATTTCTTGGAGCAGGCAAGTGGGTAAAAGAGGATATTTTGAGAGGGTGTGGTCAAGAAAGATAAGAGAAAATATCTTGATAAATATTCACAGCAAGATTTATGTAACCACATACATACATAAGAATAAGATTAATGTAGAAGCGGAGGAGAAATTGTTGGGAGCGTTACAAATAACAAACATCCATCTAAAAAATCTTTTGGATTTTGTGAGTTGAGATATGAATGTGATGGCAAGCACAGCTTTCCTCTTTTCAGCCATGCAGATTTTTGGGACAACTGAGCCAGGTGTCTAGGTTTGCCTCCATATGGACTTTGTTGATTATTTGCATAAGTTGCATCATAAAGTTCTTGTATGCTTCTCATTTTTCTTCCTTGCCATCTTCATCAGAATCTTCGTCCAGTAGAGAATTTGAAGATGTATAACTATCATCATTCTTATTGAAAATGTTTTCTTCTTCATTGAGAATAGTAGACGAGTTCTTGTTTGATCCTTCAAAAGTTGCATTTTCATCAAACTTAACGTATCTAACGATCAAAATTTTCTTTTTTATTGGATAAACAATTTATAAGCTTTAGACCTCTCACTGTAACCAATGCATATACATTTTTCATCTTTATCATCCAACTTGGTTCTCATTGCATCAAGAATATGAGCATAGGCAAGTGTGCCAAAAATCTTCAAGAGGCCAACTGTTGGTTTAGATCCATACTAGGCTTTATGAGGAGTCAAGTTTTTTCAGACTTTTTGATGGTGACCAATTAATTAAATGTTCCACACAAGAGACTGCCTTTGCCCAAAATTCTAGACATAGATTCTTCCTTTTGAGCATACTTCTTGCCATTTTCATGATTGTTCGATTTTTCCTCTCACAAACTCCATTTTGTTGTGGTGTATATCAAACTGTCAATTCATGTCTTATACCAAGATCACTGCAAAACGTTTCAAATTCTTTTGAAAGCTATTCAGTTCCACGATCAGTTCTTAATTTCTTAATGGAAAAGCCACAGAAATTTTCAACTTCAGCTCTGAAATTCTTGAATGCTTGAAAACAATGAGATTTTTCTTTGATTAAAATATGTCCAAACTTTTCTACTATAATCATCAATGAAAGAAATGAAATATTTGCTACCTCCTAGAGATGTAGTTGGCATTGGTCCACATAAATCTGAATGTACAAGCTGAAGTGGTTGATTGGCTCTCCAAAATGACTTGTGAGGAAATAGATCTCTATTATACTTTCCAAGTTGGCATGCCTCACAAACATCGTGGACTTGATCAATTTGAGGAAGACCATCCACCATTTTCTTTGTTGATAATAACTTCAAGCCTCTGAAATCTAAATGATCGCAATTGTCATGCCACAACTTGGAGACCCCTTTCTTCATGCTAGCAAAGCAAGAAATAATGCCGATGGCTTTAAGCTGAATAGAAAACATATTATTTGATGTTAAAGGATTCTTTGCCACAGTATGACTTCCTTTCACCAAGGTTCACATTTTATCATAGAAATTAACGTCAAACACTCTTAAAAGAAAACCAACACTAAGCAAGTTACTTTTCAAACTAGGAACATAAACATATTAGACATATTTTCAATTTTTCCATCCTTGGTTTCAATTCTAATATGTCCAATGCCTTTAATTGCATACGCTCTTGCATCACCAATTGAGATCTACCCCATGTCTAATTCCAACAATTTATAAAACAAGGCTTTATTTCCAGTCATATGCTTATTAGGAACATTGTCCAAATACCAGATATAATTCTTGTGATTATCATGACAAGTAAGCAATAAAGTTTTACATTTGTTTTTCTCAATATTGTCATCTTGATGAATAAAATTTGTTCCATCTTTATAATCCTTCTTCTTGTGCCAACACTTATTGCTTTATGGCCAGGTTTATGATTATAGTAGCATTCAATATATTCATCTTGCTTATACTAACAATCACTGCTTTTGTGTCCAGGTTTATAGTAATAATAGCATTCAATGTATTACTTTTCTTAATACCAACCATCATTGCTTTTGTGTCCAGGTTATTGCAATTATAGGATTCAATGTATTCTTTTTGCCTCTTTATTGATATCCTCAGCCTCGTCACCGTTGAGAATTTTTTATTATGGTCATCTTTTTCTTCTTCTTTAGAATCTCCACCACTTTGAAATCCTCTTCCTCTTCCACGAGTATTGTAACCTCTTCCTTGACCTCCAGACTTTCCTTGACTCTTACCTTGTCTACTAAAATTATTTGAACCAAGGCCTCCTAGATTTGAGATTTAAGAGCTTGGTGGGGAAGAAGGATTCCTGTGCTTTGATCGCAATTCATGTGATTTTAAATATGCAAGTAAATCATCTAATGTAAGCGATGACAAGTCCTTAAATTTTTCAATAGCAGCTGCTATGAAGTCGAATTTCTGCAGCAAACTTCAAAGAAATTTTTCCACAACTTTTTGATCTTCTAAAATTTCACCATTGAATGACATTTGATTTACTATAGAGGTCACCCTTGTAAAATAATCTGAAATATTTTCTTCTTCTTTCATCTCAAGTTTTTCAAATTCTAACCTGAAAGACTGCAAACGTGCCTTTTTTACTTTCTCTTCCCCTTGATGTCCAGTTTGTAAAATCTCCCAAGCTTGCTTTGAAGTTTCCCCCATTGAGATTCGTTCAAAGCCGATCTTTCTATCAATTGGTAAATACAGGAAAGAGCTTTGTTGTCTTTTTCTCTTCAGTCTTTTAAAACATTTTTCTGTACTTGAGTCAATCCATCTGTAGTCTCTGGTTTTTCAAAACCTTCATCGAAAATGCTCCACAGCTTCAATGATTTCAGCAAAACTTTTATATTATGGATCCAATAATCATAATCTTTCCCATTAAAACGAGGAATAAGAAAAGCCAGATTATTTGAATTTGCCACGACTTTTTCTTTCCAAAATCTGTTGCTGCTACTGTATTCAGATCACAATTTCTGTACTTTTTTTTTATTTTTTTTTTGTAGGTTCTGATACCAATTTGAAAGTACAAAAGCTAAATACTTAATCTTAGAAAGTTTTATTTCAATACCTTACTAAAACATCAGATTATAGTCCAATTTATACAAACTAGATGACATAGAAAGTTACAGAATAATCAATATGACTATCCGATATTCAAGGAGGCAGAGGCTCCTCAATACATCATTTCAACGGTAGAATTTTAGGAGACAGTTGACACAAATAAATTTAGCATATGAATTAATGTGATTTCTCCAACAATTTTTGATATATAAAGTTTGCCTAATGATGAAGCCTTTTATTGATGCCAGGCTTCATTAATGATAAATACAGATTTGATGATAATACAATTAATTAGCCACAAAAACAAAAGGTTAAAAAAAAAATCTACGCGACTGAAACTGCAATAGGACTTTGGACATTGTGGATTCCATCAAACCATGTATACCATCCAAATGCGTACTTGTCTTTCCCCATGCCTTTGTTTACCTTGTTTGCTTTTACTGTGATGGTGAATGTCTTCCTCTGGCCAATATGATTAAAGAATAAAATTGAAGGTGAGACCTTCACGGAGAATCCCGGTGGTGGTTTAACTTTGACGAAATAGACACTCTTACTGCTGCCAACATTTGTGACTCTTCGCTCGACAGTAGAGGTGCCATTGAGTTTGGGAATGGCGAGGGATGGATAATTGAGATTAGAAGGAAAGGGTGGCTTTATAGGACACTTGAAGGAAGAATCCAAGTTCTTAATCCCAATGCTGCAGAGGAAAAGAAGATAGTCCATGTATGATGCATCATACACGAGTCCAGGATCAGCAGCTTTCGTTGGCCTAAAATGACCCGATCCGAATTGGAAAGGATCTGCCGGCTTGCCAAATGCATCAGTTATTGGCTTGCCTAAATTGTTATTCAGTTCCGCTGCAGGCAAAAATATTCAAGACAATTGGAAATAAATGCTACTAGTCCAGAAAAATGTTAGACATGATGCACAAATGTACCTGAGGTTATCAGAGCAGATCTTATAGCAGCACTACTCCAACTCGGGTGTATAGCTTTCAGAAGTGCAGACGTTGCACCTATATGTGGGCAGGACATAGATGTTCCTGATAGGATATTATATTTGACCACACGATGATCTTGGTCTAGTTTTGTTGGAGATGAAGCTTCACTCCATGCAGCCAATATATTTAGCCCAGGTGCCGTAATATCTGGCTGTCAAGTAAGCCATCAATGTTATTTGTGTTCATTTTACTCATTAGATCGTATGTTGCAATAGTTGGATATAAATCGGTATCTCCGCTTACCTTGAGAATATTGGGTGAAACTGTGCTCGGGCCTCTACTGGTGAAGGAAGCCATGAATGGTGCTGGCTTGCTCTCTAACTCTGTTGTAGCTGGTACTATATAGGCCATCGGTGTTTTTGTAGAATGGATGTAGTTTAGAATTTTGAGAGCATTTTTGTAATTGACACCAGTGGCCGGAAGAATATGAGCATCAGCTACTAGTTCAGCTCCACTTGTTCTACTATCTCCCAAGATGAAACCAATCCCACCAGCCCTTTTCACTTCCCAACCTTTTCCCACTCTTGTTCCATTCCAATGTAAACATAATACAATCTTCCCCTTTGCCGCATTGGGTGAAAGTGAACCAGGTAGACATTGCCTTCACATTATTAATGTTCAAAATTCAATACACACACAGATACAGATAGATACAGAGACAGATAGAAAAAGACAGAGAGAGATCAGCGAACCCAGAGATATTTTTTGGCACATCAGCATTGACTATTTGGGCTGCATAAACTAGTTGATACATCTTTTTTTCCATCTTATATGGAGTTACTGTTTGTCCCTGAGAATAATCACAGAAGAAAATGGAACTTAAATCAATGACCAACAATATTGTCAAATGATTTTTTCTTAGTCAAGTGTTTGGCTTACCTCAATTTTCATGCCATTTCCTAGCACAATGGGTGCTAAAAACTTCCGGTCGATGCTACTAGCACCAACTGTGATAATCCAGGGAGCCGTATTAGATAACGTAGCTGGTTCAGGGCCAAAGTTCCCAGCGCTGCAAGCCACCACTATATTTTTCTTGATCGCATGAAGTGCTCCAATGGCAATACCATCTTCATTGAAGGAAACAGGATCCTTTCTCCCTATTGAAATGCTTAATACATCAACACCATCACCAATTGCATCATCCATGGCGGCTAACATGTCTTCCATAAAGCACGTATTTCCCTCTTCTTTCCCTCTTCCGGGCATTGCCCAACAGACTTTGTAGATAGCCAGTCGGATAAGTGACGCGCCACCTGAGGCAGTGCCACGGGCAAATCCACCCAATGCGGAAACATTTTGAACCCTTCGGCCTCCAACTGTTGATGCCGTGTGAGTTCCATGTCCATCCTTGTCACGAGGGGATCGATAATCCAATGTTCTGTTAAGAGGGCCGTAGTGTGCCTCATAACCTTTGATGTAGTATCGTGCACCTATTATCTTCCTGTCATTGAACAAATTATAAGTGCTGTTTGCGGCAAAAAAATTTGAACCAGATAAATATAGTGTTCATTGCACAAATTCTAGTTTTGCATCTATAAACAGCTATATCAGGTGACCATATCGTATAAAATGGTTAAAACAAGTGATTTTAGCCCTTACAAAAAGATTACTGATTTTTAGATCTCTTTGTGCCCATGTCATGTTGAGATACTCATATCAGTTTGTTGAGAAACGCAAAAGATACCGGACAACTCCAATGCCAATTTGTTGAAAATGATACGAGATTATAAACATAATATGAAATAAAGATTACAAACTCACAAAAAGAATATAATTTGTAGAGTAAATGAGATTTCACTAAAATATGGAGAAAGAACAAAAAGATTCGTGTTTACAATTTATCTAATTAATAATGGGGATAAACAAACCTCCAATAATGTTAAACCAACCTATAACGAGGTTAATAACCCATAATGGAGTAAAGCCATCCCAACTAAATCGTAGAGAAGAGTCAAATATATATAGGAAACAATCCAAGCCCTAATAGTAGAGTTTGAGATGAAATAGAATATTTAAAAGTTTCCTTATTTTGATATCTTCAAATCCAATACAAATTTCAATTCCTAATAGGGCTTCCAAATAGAATTTCAACTAGAATTTGCCAAATATATTGAGTTCGAATAGATTTCAAAAACATCCCAAGTAGAATTCTTCTTAAGTCGTGAATTTAATTAGAATTCTCAATCATCTTCAAAATAGAATTCGGGTCACACCCTAATTTTAACATGCTCCGTATTGACATAAATTCAACTGCAATTAATAAACTTCAACGATTTTATGTTATGTTTTTGGGATTACATCTTAAAAGGTCAACCTTATTAAGAGGAGTAACAAAATTCTTTATAAGTTGGTTTATGTTTTCATCTTTATTTGATATTGAATTTTATCCCTTAACATGTCCCAACAAGATAGTGGCTCGTTTGAGCAAATCAATTTTGAAATTCGTGTGCTCATTTTTTTTAGTCTTAATCGGATTGAATTGGAGTTTAATGGGCTCTGATACCATATTAAAATTTGAGATTCTATCTTAAAATGTCAATCTTATTAAAATGGGTAACATAATCCTTTATAATTTGGTTTGTGTTTTCATCTTTATTCAATATGGGATTCTATCCCTTAACATTTCTACCAGGAGACAAACTCCATTATAAAGAATGAACTTCAACTCTTCAACAAAAAACATAAATGAAATTTCCATCAAAATTTCCGCCGAAAATAAATGAAATCTCCATCAAAATTTCTAACTAAAAATGTTCTCCAAAAACTCTATCACCCACCTAATGGCAAAACTCAATCCTTGAGTAATAACAAAATTCCAAGAAATCCTTTGGACACCAAAGTTGCTCGAATCACGAACAACTAAATCAAATGTGATTAATAATCACCAAATAAGCCATGTAATAAAAACACCACATAACATTTCAATAGAAGGATCTAGGTTAGAATCAACACTTTCAACCATGAACAAAGCAAAAACAACCAAATCAACATTATTATACCTACGTGGAGGCTTATTGCAAAAACTTGGCATGTTTCTAGCAACTGAATACAATGGTACCATTGATAATAGTGGCAAAGCGGTATTACTCATAACTTCTAAATTCAACCGAGATGTATTCTTCAAAGAAGACCCCTAATTAGACTCCAACGGTACATAATCAAACTCGAAATCCAAACGAGTCCTTAAAATATGTCGATACATCAAAGATTCTGTATAAAACTGCAAGACATATAACAAAAAAGAGGCTCTTTTACGAACTTTCAAGACTCCACCTTCATTAGTGTACTTATACCCTTTTGAAACAAGAGTATTCAAGGAGAAAATATTTCTCTTTAAATTTGGAACATGTCTGACTGCATCGAGTGTTTTAGTTGTCCCATCAAACAACTTTATTCGGACACAATCCATACCATATATTCAACAAGGTATATTATTTTTCATTATTAGCACACCTTTTACAATTGTTTCATACGTTGAAAACGAATTTCGATTGGGATACATAAATGCAAGGTGTATCAAGATTCCAATCATCGTCAAGTTTGGAATAGTAGTCAGAAGCAAGTGAAAAAGTTCTCCATCACTGTGAAAAGTTTCAACAATGGCTTCACCTGAAGTAAGTAATTGCTTTTCCTTCTAAAAAGTTGCAGCAAAATTTTCTGTATTCTACAACTTATAGCAATCCCTAATTAAGTGCTCCAAATTCTTGCAATAAATTTTGAAGTTGGACCTTAATTTGCCCATTGCACAACCACCATAAAAAACAAGCTTATCTCCATGAGCCTTAGTTTCAATTAGATGCTTTATATCTTTTCCTTTGAGTATAGGGCATCATAAACTTCTTCAACGGTGAGATCACGACTATATAAAATGGTATCATTAAAACACAACAAAATCAATCCTATATAAGTAAGTACTGCTTGCCTCGTAATCTGCCACAATGAAAATCTTATACTGCGATCCAATAATGGAACATCAAAATTCATGGTTTCCATCACAAAAAAAATCAAGCGAAGCTTTTTAAATTGATTAAAACCTCGATCTCCCTAGAATTTTCAAGCATTTGGCTTTGATACTGGTGTGTTGAAAAACGCGGAAGATACCGGATAACTCTGATACCAATTTGTTGAAGAAAATATGAGATTATAGACACAATATGAAATAAATATCACAAACGCACAAGAAAAATATAATTTGCATAGTAAATGAGATTTTACAAAAATATAGAGAAATAATACAAAAATTTGTATTTACAATTTGTCTGACTAATAATGGGAATAAACAAACCTCCAATAAGGTTAAACCAACCTATAATGATGTTAAAACCCCATAATGGGGTAAAGCAATCCAACTAAATTTTAGAGAAGGGTCAAATATATATAAGGAAAAATTCAAGCCCTGGAAGTATAATTTTAGATGAAATAGAATATTCAAAGTTTCTTCATCTTAATCACTTCAAGTCCAACATAAATTCCAACTCTCAATTAGGCTTCCAAATAGAATTTCAACTAAAATTTTCCAAATAGATTTCGAATAAGATTCCAAAAGCATTCCAAATATAATTCTTCTTAAATCACAAATTTAATTAGAATTCTCAATCATCTTCAAAATAGAATTCGAGTCACTCTCTAATTCTAACAACCACATATTTGTCATATTCGTTAATGCTTTACAACTATACATGCTTTACAACTATACAATGACCTGTAAGGCCCATAAATATTTGGTCTAGTAAAATCACAGAATAATTGGTAGAGACTTTGGCACAAAAAACCAAAGTCGAATAGACATTGAAGCGATAGAAGTTCACAAGATGGCATTGCAAGAAGCCAAAAATATTGACTTCCCACCAGAATTTATCGCTGTTGGATTGGATATAGACAAGCTAGGAACCATAAGCCGAACATAGATAAATAAGTGATGCATATAAGGACATGAATGTAGGACAAGAAGCTGGGCCCAATTCACGCTTTACTTGAAAAATGTCATTTCTGATAATTTAGGAAACAACCTAGAAGAAATGGACTTAATCCCACTTTGGAGGTATAAAGTTCCTTAATTCAAGTTGATTCTCTCAGTAGTAGAGGCACGCGCCAAACCCCTATCATTTAGCTGACTCTTGTTAATTAAGTGATGACGAGACCCGACTTCGGCTAGATTTTTCTTCTATAATATGTAAGGGCAGCTATAGAATGTGAAATATATAGCAATTATCGAAGGGAATATAAAGAAAACTTACTTGTTACAGTTTGATGAGTTAAATGCATCTCCTGATTGACAGATTCCTTTCCATGATGATGGATAGGGTCTCATTCCTTCATCGCTGAAGCTTTTTGATTCTGGCCACACACCTGATGAACAAAAAAATTTTCATCACATGCAATCATGGCAGTCTAATAAATAATATGCTTCATGGCATATTTGATGTGCAATATTAGACTCGACTATGATGAAATTCTTATTTTATTCCGGTTAAAACCGTCCAATGCTATTATAGAAAGAAAATAAATTTATATATAGAGTTCAATGGCAGGATAAGATTACCACTATCTAGCATGCCAACAATAACATTTTGGCCATATCTTGATTTCAGTAACAGGTCCTCCTTCAATTGAAACCCTTTACTTCCTTGTAGTTGTTGTAAACCGGAAAATTCCCATGACCTTGTAGTCTGCAAAGAGTACTTTGTCGACTGGCTCCGCAATACAGACAACACTTCCTCAATCTCTGTTAAAAAAAATTAAAATATTGAATTAGACAATCACAAAGAGGGAGAGAGAGAGAGAACGAGCGAGCGAGCTTGTGGTGGTTCGACTCACCGGACAGTTTGAAGGCTTCATCTGGGGTGAGCAATGCTGCGAAGCCATTGATGCTGGACTTGTAACTGTAAATAAGAGAAGATTTAGCATCTTCCACAGTTTCTTTCACAGAGAACAGATATGAATGATGGTTTTCTTCAATTTCATTATATGTTTTCTCTCCACTATGTTCTCCGAGGTACACTATGTACACCTGCAAATGACAGTATATTTAGTGCAAGATATGAAACTACAATAACTATGTAGGTTTGGACATAGTTAAGAATCGATTAGTAAGTGGAAATTAGAACCTGTTTCTCATTACAAGAAGCCAGGAGAGGAAGAAGAAGAAGAACCAAAAGAAATATAGGAAAATTCTTCACAGTTAAATCCATGGAAAATTGCTCATTGAACTGATACACTGGAGTATATATAGTAGTCTACTTACACAGAATCCTGCTTGAATAAGAAATTCACTCTTTTCAGTTTAGCAATTAAGAATCTTCTTTATGAGATTAACTAATTATTAACCAAGTGGACCAAATGAAAACTTTCAATATTTGCGTGCACGTCCTCAAACTAAAGGATTAGGGCATTACGGTCCAACAATTGTGTTTAACCTTCTTTAAAATGTTAAAATGTACATGTTTAATATGTTTGACCGGACAACATGAAGAAAGGATTTTCCCAAGTCTGTATAAATTATGTGAAGAATTTTCTATTCGTGTAGCAGAACTCACGAAGAAATGAGAATTTGCAAATTTATTTGAGTAATTGGAAATGGTATGGCATAATTAGCAACATATTGATTTTGCATAGATATAGTGATTTGTTTGGTTATAAATTGATGGCAACCACACAATTATTGAGATTGGTTAGATTGCATAGTTTTAGTGAATTTACAAGTTATGCATATCTTAATTTTCAAGAATATTTTAATTGGCAGTTAATAGTTTTTTTTTTCTTTTTTAAATCTGAAATTACAAAAGAATGGTGTATTTAAAAGAGTAATGCTCATTGGGTGGTGGTGATCATTTTATTTGGAATCACCCGACCAAAATCACGACCAGATTGAATCTAGTCTAATTCTCGGTTCCATTTACATATGATTCGTTTCTAAAAATGTTTTTATATTAACTTCTCAACTAAATAATAAGCTCCCATTTGGTCTGGATTAAAATATGCTTTTATTTCAAGTTAAAGTCAAACAATGAATATTAACCACATCTTTCATGGGTCCCACAATTTTTCAACCACACATTTCAAAATTTTTTATCACAATCTACTAAAAATCTAATTTTAATCCCCACCAAACAATATCTAAATCAAGCACTCGAAACAAAAAATTATCCAAAACAATTCTTTTTTAATTGTTCACGGGGCGGGGCGGGGCATCGCCGCCCCGCCCCGCCAACCCGTTCGGGGCTAATTTTTTTGCCCCATTTTGGGTGGGGACCTGAGGGAACGGGACGGGGAAAATTGTCATCTCTAGGTGAAATAAGACTTGCACAATCATTACAATTTATAATATACTCTGAAGCATAAAAGAATCTGATCGGAGTGGACTAGAAGCAAATGATTAAGATCTGGTCCGATTCCTTTCTTTTCCAAATAGAACCTTTTACAATTTTTGATGAGAATTAGTTAGGTTCCGTTCTTAAGATATCTAGATCGAATTGGCCGATGCATATTCCCTTTGGACATAATTATAGGATATTTTTCTTTTTATTATTATTTATAGTTAAAATCAACCTTAAATAGGTGCCAGGTTGAGTAAAATGTTCATTGTACATGGATGTAAGTACAATTTTAGGGTTCATATGGTTAATGTTTGTTTTACGATTTAAAATCTAACACCCATATATGCCACATTATTTTCTTGCTAATAGAGAAATAAAATTACAAAATGAATTAGAAAGTACTCCTTTCTAGTAGTGAAATTGGCCTAAAAATTTTATGGCTTGAATCAATGAGGAAAAATGTGTTTTAAAAATAATAAATTTATATGAAATAAGCTATTTTTCTTCTTCAAGATGAATTGAAAATACATCAATTGTTTGGACTTTGGACGCTGTAAGAAAAAGTGATTATTGAAGAAGAATTGGACAACCTTATTTTTACCAAAAAGCTGTTAGAATAAATCCAGTTCAAAGAACCTTCAGTTACTAGTTTGTTTCAACTGATGTTGGTTGGAATCTTCAACAACTTGGAGCCTTGTTTGTTGGTAGTTATTAACTGAAATGGAGCCTCATTTAGGTCTATAAATAGGAGCCATATGTAGTGCAAAAAGAAGAAGCTTTCAGGAGTGAAAGAGGGATAGAAAGTGAGATTGTATAAGAATTGTCTCATAAATATGGGCAAAAGTCTTTCTAGTATGATTTCAAGCGTGTAAATCATGTTTTCCTTTGGTAATAAAGTGTTAGGAAGATGTTTTCTTCATGTTTAAATCATTCTAAGTGTTGAATCTTGCTGGTTTTTCATCTGTTCTTCTGTCATTTCTTCTGCAATTTGCTGGTGTTGAATTTTCCTTTGTTACCCTGTTTGATCTACATTATTTTTTTCATTCTCATTCTTCTACTCATTTTTAACCACACATTTTTCAATAAAATAATATTTTTCATCACATCAATAACTTTTCTTTCATTTTCAACCGCATATTTCTCATCACATTAACAGTAAAAATGCATTCTTTTTCCAAAAATGTGCACCAAACGGGGGCTGTAATTCTGCAACCTTTGCATTGATTTGGAGTTGGAGGAAGCCTTTGAACCCCAAAAATTGGTATCAGAGCTTGAAAGTTTCTGGTCTGATTTCTGTTCTCTTTAATTGGTCGAACGCATTTTTTGTGAAAAATAGATTCCTGGCCAGAATCTTGATCACATAATGTCTACATCCAAATTTGAGAGAGAAATTTGATGGCAAGAATGACTTCAATCTGTGGAGGAAAAAGATGATGGCTCATCTTGGCAATCTTAGTTTGGAAGAAGCTTTGGAAGGGAAATATAAAATTAATGCTGAAATTCTGAAGAAGGCAAGGAACAACATCATACTTAGCCTATCTCATATAGTTCTCAGTAAGGTAATTAAGGAGAAGACGGCGCCTGAGATGTGGAATAAATTGGAAGAGCTCTACTTGACCAAAATTTTGCCTAACCGGATCCACCTAAAGCACAAGTTCTATAGCTTCAAGATGGATTAAACAAGGTCAATTGATGAGAACATTGAGGAGTTTACTAAACTGGGATCTGATATGGAGAATATGGACATCAAGATTGATGAAGAGGATCAAGCCATTTTCTTGTCGAACTCTCTGCCAGCATCCTTTGATCACTTAAGGGATACCATCAAATATAGCAAGTATTCATTAACCCTCAAAGAAGTTGCTACAGCAGCCTACTCGAAGGAATTGGATATGAAGCTGAATGGAAACCTTGCTAAAAGGAGTGGAGAGGTGCTGAGTGTCCAAGAAAGAAAAGAAAAAAGAGTGCTGAATTTGTAATCAAGAAGGGCACTATAAGAAGGATTGTTCAAGAAGAAACTAGAGGTGGATAAGAAAGGAGGCAAGCAAGATGGAGAGTGTGCAAACATGCTTGGAGGCTATGAAGTTGATGAAGTGCTCTGAAGGTTCTATCTGTAATGAATCTGAAAATTCTTCTCAAGAATCAAGGAGAAGATTGTAAGAAAAAGTGATTCTTGAAGAAGAATTGGACAACCTTATTTTTACCAAAAAGTTGTTAGAATAAATTCAGTTCAAAGAACTTTCAGTTACCAGTTTGTTTCAACTGATGTTGGTTGGAATTTTCAACAATTTGGAGCCTTGTTTGTTGGTAGTTAATAACCAAAATGGAACCTCATTTAGGTCTATAAATAGGAGCCATATGTAGTGCAAAAAGAAGAAGCTTTCAGGATTGAAAGAGGGATAGAAAGTAAGATTGTATAAGAATGGTAGAATTCTCATACTTATGGGCAAAAGTCTTTCTAGTATGATTTCAAGCGTGTAAATCATGTTTTACTTTTGTAATAAAGTGTTGGAAGAGATTTTCTTCATGTTTAAATCATTCTAAGTGTTGAATCTTGCTAGTTTTTCATCTGTTTCTTCTGTCATTTCTTCTGCAATTTGCTGGTGCTGAATTTTCTTGTATAATTCTGCAACCTTTGCATTGATCTGGAGCTGAAGGAAGCCTTTGAACCCCAACAGAGGTAATGAATAAAGTAGGGTTAAATTAATAGAGTAATAATATATATATATATATATATATATATATAGAGAGAGAGAGAGAGACTTGGAATGATCTTCATGTGATTCATGTGATCTGACATTATAAAATCAACAAAAATTGTTTCATATTTGCGCATTTAATTGATCTTTTCATTTCACCTCACATCACCTGTCATATAAAACCGATATCAATGATGCTGATCATTCTTGCCTCTTGTGTTTAATTTGAATTAAATTGTTCTGTAATGAAGGAATGGAGAAATTAAAGATAGAGATGAAGATTTTGGAATAATAGATTATCAATTTTGGTCAAATATGCAAATAGGCCATAAGTTGGGCCTTGAATTGAAAAATCTAGGCAATCCATAGTTATAGCAAGAACACAAAAAATAAATTATAAATTCAAATGAATACACTAAAAAATTAGTGAAAATCATTAGTAAATAGGTATTTTCAATAGAGATTTTAATGAAGTTATTAAAATTTAGATCATCAATAACTAGTGGATTTGAAAGATTTCATTAGCAAAGAGATTTCAAGAGATTGGATGAATTTCAAATTTAAAAATGCACATTACTAACTCTTTCGAAAATCCACATTTTTAAAATAAGATTCTTAAGGAAAATTCATTAAAATATAAGTGTTCTCAATAATTTGTGGATTTAGAAGATTTCAAGAGATTTGGATGGATTTCAAGTTTAAAAATACACAAAATGAACTCTTTTGAAATTTCACATTTTCTGATAAGTTTCTTATGGAAAATTCATTAAAATATAGGTATACTCAATCATTCCTGGATTTAAAAAATTTCATTAATAAATAGATTTCAAGTTTTAAAATACACATAACAATTTGTTTTAAAATTTCACATTTTCAATAAGATTCTTATGGATAACTCATTAAAATTTAGGTATCATAAACTAAGATTTTAATGGAATTTATTAAAATTAATTAAAATATGGATATACTTAATAACTCTTGAATTTAAAACATTTTATTAATAAATAGATTTCAAAAAAATAGATAGGTTTCAAGTTTAAAAATACAGATAACAAACTCTTTTGAAATTTTATATTTTTTATTAAGGTTCTTATGGAAAATTCATTAAAATCTAGGTGTCACCAACTAAGATTTTAATGGATTTTATTAAAATTTATTAAAAATATATAAGTTTCC